GACAAGCAGGGTGGAGAAAGCTGCTGAGATTCAGCAAAAACATCAAAGCTGGGACTACAGAGAGTCCACTTTTTACCGACTTACCGGGCACACACAGTGCCACGGTTCCCAATCGCTGACTCCCACTCTCCAAACTAGTTACCCCCACACTTTTACCCCATTGCTGCTCTGCTAGGAGGCTGCTTCCGTAAACCAGGGGGTTCTGTCTATCTTGTTCACTGCTACGTCAGACCTCCTATAATAGTTTCTGCAACACAGCAGGAATTCAAAATATATTCTAAGACCAAATGGATTCTTAGCCACACACCTTTGAGCCTGCACTCGGCCAGACCACTGCGCTCTGTAGCAGAGACTGACTGCTCTGAACACTTACCTAGCCCATTTTATCCTCACGGCCACCTGAGGGCAGCACAGCATCCTCGGGGTTGCCACTGGCTTCAGGAAGCCCCTCAGATACCAAAGCACAAGAATGCTCTTGACCCCATACAAAATGATGGCTGCTCTTCCAGAGGACCCAGCTTCAATTCCCAGCACCCACAGGGCAGCTCACAACTATCTGTAACTCCAGGATCTGAGACCCTCACAAAGATGCACATACAGGCAAAACACCAATGCACATAAAATAAAAATAAACAAACTACTTTTTAATGTTTATTTCATCTTACACGTATGAATGTTTTGCCTATATGTATGCATTCATACCATGTATGCCTGCTACCTGAGATGGTCAGAAGAGGGCATTGGATCTCCTGGAACTGGAGATACAGATAGTTATGAACCACCATGTTGGTTGGTGCTGGGAACCAAACTGTGGCCTCTGAAAGAGCAACAAGTGATCTTAAGTGCTGATCTGTCTTTCCAGCCCCCTCCAAGTCCAAATTTTGCTATCTATCTGTCTATCTGTCTATCTATCTATCTATCTTTTTTTTTTCCCCTAAATGAAAACACAGTCCTGGGCTGGAGAGATGACCCAGTGGCTTACAGCACTAGATGCTTTTCCAGGGGGTCTGGTTAGATTCCCAGCACCTTCATGATGGCATATATCTGTTTGTAACTCTAGGTCCAGGGCACCAGACACTCATGTGTACACAGACATACATGCAGGCAAAACATCCATACACACAAAATAAAGGTAACTATACCTTAAAGCCACATATAGTCATAGGGAAGTGACATCTGTCTGGCTCCAAATCCTCCACAAGTACTGCTGATCTCAGATGGAGGACAGAAAGGGCCAGGGCAGGGTGCCAAGAGCAGCAGGAAGTGTCCAGCACTGCCCCACACACTTTCCTTTGATTATGGGAAAGCCATGAGCAGACCAGCAGAGCCACACCAGCCACAGCTGGCCACTGAGCACTGAAAAGTGACCAGTGTGACGACAAAACAAAAGTTTGTTTTGCTTTTTATTTTGAGGGTTTTTCCCTCATGCCCCCGTCTAGGTAGCTTGGGCTGACCTAGAACTTGCAATCCTCCTGGATCAACTTCCTGTGTCTTCCTATATGCAGGAATTGTACCATCAAGCACATCTCCAAATCACCTTTTGTTTCTGTTTTTGTTTTTCTCTTTCCTGAGCTTGCTGTGGAGATCAGGCTGACCTCAAACTCACAGAGATCCATGTGCTTCTGCCTCCTGAGTGCTGGGACTAAGGGGCTGTGCCACCACACACAGCTGGGGGTTGTTTATTACATTTATTTGCTTGTTTCTGCACAAGCTACAGTGCGTATGTGGAGACCAGAGAAACAACCACCCTTGGAGTAATTCTACTGTCGGAGTCCCTAGATCCTCGGGCTCGACGGCAAATGCCTTTCCTGACCTGCTGAGCCATCTCACCAGTCCATTAAACTTTTTCTATTAAGTTTTAATAGCTACCAATGGCCACTGGCTCGTCTGAGACATTTTGCTTTGGATTCTATCTGGCGACTGGGTTTGTGGCACTCAGGCATGCAGGGACGACGAAAGGCTTGCAAAGGGAGCAGGCATCTGTTTACAGCCAGGAGCTCTGAGGTCACTTTATTTATGTAACCCAGCCAGGGCCACACTTGTATACACAGTTTGAGGAGGGTTGCCTTGGGGTCCCAACCAGAGATGGTTCCTCTGTCTATCTGCCTCCTGAGACAATCTGTCCCTAGAGAGCTAGAACCCACTGCATAAATCAGAGAGGCTGAACTGTCTTTGTCCTCAGGACTTGCTTTTGGCCTCATTCAGGGTCCTTTTAGGGTGGAGTCTGCATGACTGATCCCACACGATCCCTAAGGGCTTTACAGGGAATCCATAAATGAGTGTTGCAATGACTAAACAAGGGGCAGAGCCACGGTGGGGAGGCTTCTGGTAACAGGGACCCTGGTAAGGGAAGGAGGTCCCTTACCCAGTTCTTCAACCCCTTAGGCAAATGCCCTCAACCCTGCAGCACCCAAGAATCACAGCAACAACTTTTTTTTACAAAAGTCTAGAACTCACTCTCTGATTCTCTGATACATTTTAATGAATGGCTAGGGGTCAAGATTTGTCATTTTTGGCCATATGGTAGTGGCACCTGCCTTTAATCCCAGCACCATGGAGGCAGAGGCAGGCGGATCTCTGTGAGTTTGAGGCTAGCCTCGTGTTCAGAATGAGTTCCAGGATAGCGAGGGTTACACAGAGAAACCATGTCACAAAATAACCTCAAAAATATTTTTTTTATGTTTTAAAAATTGTCATTTTTACAAAGATCCACCCTTCCTAGCTGAAATCTGATGTTAGATGAAAACACACCCTTCAGAAAAGCACTGATTTAGGGTGAGGCCAGGAATGCAGGTGTGTTTTGTGGACTGAAGCAGGTGGCCCCAAAGGGAATTCAGAAGTCAAGAGGAGACTTAGCTATTTGGGCATCTATGCTGCTGCATGTATTTTCTTGTCTTGCAGAAGGAAAGGGAAACCGAAGCCACTCACGCCCCAGCTGTCTGAAGCCAGCAACACCTAGAGGGTCTGACCTAACAGAAGCCTCAACACCAATCTGGTCCAGGACCCTGGGTTGAAGACACAAAGGGGTCCAGCAGACCCTGGCAGACTTTAAAAATCCCACCAATTGGGGCTAAAAAGATGGCTCAGCAGTTAAGAGCACAGGCTGTGCTTCCAGAGGACCCAGCACCCACATGGCAGCTCACACCTGTCTGTAACTCTAGTTCAGGGCTACTGACACCTTCACACAGACATCCATGCAGACACAACACCAATGTTAATATATAAATATAGATATGATCCACACCACACACACCTCCCACCCATGGGTTTCCCCTGGAGCCAGCTCCAGCTGGCCTCACTTCTCTAAAGCCAAACATCTTACAGTCATTTGCTCCGCGCTTCCTGTTTGATGCTTGTTTCTTGATTATTACTCCCCAGTCTGTGCCTGTGCAAGTGTGGGTGTGGGAGATGGGCTGGGGACTTCTACTTCTCTGCATTTTCCTTCTGAGCTGGAAAGGCTTTCACTTCCTCCCCAGACTCCCAGTTCTGCCTTCTAAAGGCTGTTCAGGTCAGAAGACACCCCACCTTTGGGTGTCCTTTCTAAACCACAGGAAAACAGAACTCATTGTCCCAAAGTGCCTTGCAGCTCCTTAGGAAGGAAGGGAAGTGGCGGAGGGGTGCTCTGCGATGGAGCAGTATCTGAGCTAAGCACGGAGGCCCACTCCTGCTCCCCCAAGATGCCAGAGAAGGCCTCAGTCCTCCCTCGGCACCTTGAAGGAAGCCAAGTGGCGGCCTTTACTTCTCTCCGTCAGCGTCTTCTGCCCCAGAATCCCACCCGATGAGTGATGCTCAGTTTTGCCGCAAAAGCACTCAGCTTTGCCTACCGGCCTAGTTCAACACCGAGAAGTCCTAGGATCTACCACAGGGGAACACTGACACATGGAGGGGCTGGGGACCCAGCAACTGGATGACATCTTCCCATCACACCTCTCTGAGCCTCAGGCTCCTCTCAGATCCAATGGGGGATTAAAAATATGTGTAGAAAGATACATGAGGTGGTTAATGCCAGAAATCCCAGCATTCAAGCAATGGAGGCAGGAGAGGGGCACGTCTGAGGCCACTCTGGGTTATGTGAGACCCTGCCTTAAAAAAAAGTAAAGAAAATACACACAGGGATACCAAATTCTGTCTTCCAGGCAGAGAGAGAGCCAACGGTGTGTCCTCCAGGCACTGTCTCCGCAACCATCACAAAAGAAATCTCTTCAGTGCGCCTTGGCTCTCTCCATGTCCTCACATAAGTCCTCAGCCCTAAAATAACCTGTAGAGAAATGGTTGCCCAGTTCCTCCAGAAGAGACCAGGCAGGCTGCTGGACCCGAAGCCAGAACCCACAGACAGGCCTAGACCCATGAGGCCAAGTGCACCGAGGGCCAGCACAGTGCGCTGCCCCGAGCCTGGTCCATCTGCTGGGGCAGGGGACAGGGGCACAGTTCTAAGAGGCCCCACACCGTCCGACTCGCGGGACTGAGGTGGGTGTTGGCACTGTGTGCCAGGACTAGCGCGTGCTAAAGGGTTAAGCCTGTGAGGCAGAAGCACCGTGACTCAGGGCCCATGATGTCAGACCTCTTACAGTCCGGCCGCTGTCCTTACACACGACGTGACACGCAGTGGAGCGAGGAAGGCCAAGCGAAGTGCCACAGCTAAAGCAGGGGGAGCTGGAGACACAAGGGCTCTTCAGAAAAGACTACTAGTCCGCTAGGGCTCGCCCTCTGGGTATTTCCTTTTGGGACGACCCAGGGTGCAGTTGAGTAAGACCTTTGGGAACACTGGGAACCAGACACCAGGTTTCGGGAAAACACACAGTCCTGTCCTCAGACTTCAGGTACCTGCCCAAACACCCAGGCCCACAGCCAAAGGCGCCAGACGCACCAGGGGGCGCGCGAACCACCACCGCGACAGCACAGGTGGGTCAGCCCCGGGCTGGCTGCCGGTACCCGCGGGGACCACGCTGCCCGCGGAACAAGACAGTGACACACACGCGCGCACACGCACACCGTCTTACCCAGAGGGTGGCAGCTCCCGACGACCAGCGCGACCGCAGGCGCGGCCAGCAGCGCGGCCAGCAGCGCACAGCCGACGGCCAGCATGTTCGGCTCCGCAGCCGGGGCGGGGCGGGAGGGCGGCGGGCGGCAGAGGGCAGTGGCCGGCGGCCCGGCGCTCAGTTCGCTCTGACCCCGCGCTCAGCTCGCTCTGAGAGCGCTGGGCCCCGAGCGGCTCAGCTCGGCGACGGCGCGACTTCCCACTCGCACGTGACGCGGAGCCGCGGGCCGCCCTGGCAACCGCGAAACGTTTGAGGAACCGGTGCCGAAGCGCCTCTTGGCAGCCCCGGCTCGCGGTTACGAAAGCTGGATGGCGCAACCGCGCAGCGCGGCGGGCCACCGGAGGGGCGGCTTCCTGCAGCCTGGCCACACCTGGGCCGAGGCGCGGGGGACCCTCACCCGGCCCCTCCCGGGCTCGCCACGCGGGGCGAAGGGGAAGGACCCCACCGCCGCCCCCGCCGGGGGGAGGGGCTCTGGTTTTGGCCTTTGCTTTCCTGAGTGCGATCGCGGAGGGAAGTCCAGTGGCTCTGGCTGTTGAACAGCGCAGGGCGAATCCCGGGTCCTTACACACACCATCCGGAGAGTCCGGAAGCACGCCGGTGTCGGCGTCGACCCCAGAGGCTGTGATTTAATTGCTCTGAGCGAAGACTTAGGCATCCGAAACCTGACAGAGGAAAAGGCTTCCTTTGGCCTCCCAGCCCAGCGGCCCTTTGAAGGCTGCAGCAGAGGCAACAAAAAACAGTGAGCTTTTGGGTCTGGAACAAGGGGATGTGGATGCCATTCCGAATCCGGGAGTCTCGGTTTTCCCACCTGTTAGAAATTTCTTTTTTCTTTCTTTCTTTCTTTCTTTCTTTCTTTCTTTCTTTCTTTTTTTTTTTTTTTTTTTGGTTTTTCGAGACAGGGTTTCTCTTGTGCTCACTTCTGCAACACATATACTAAAATTGGAACGAGACAGGGTTTCTATGTGTAGCCTTGGCTGTCCTGGACTTCCTTTGTAGACCAGGCTGGCCTCGAATTCACAGAGGTCCTCTGGGATTGTGAGCGTGCACCACTGTGCCCGCCTAGAGATTTTTTTTTTTTTTTTTTTTTTTTTAAAGCTCATGATGAAGATTACTGGGAACGCCATCTAAGTACCCGGACCCCAAGTACTCAACGAGGAATCGGGCCCTGACTGTCCTCATGACTTGACTGGACGCAAAGGAAAAGGCACTTGGTATTTACCAGAACACACCAAGGTTCCCCAGAAAGCCTGAAGCTGCAGCGCAGCTTCACACACAAATGCGGAGGAAAAGGAAAACACTAAAAATAAGATTTAGAGGAGGGGCCCTGGGCCTGCATGTTATAACGTGCTCTTCCATGTTGGGGCTTCAGACTGATTAGCATCCATGAGGCAACTGGAACGGGTGTGTTCTGGCTGAACCTCTAAATAAGACATGGCCTCATTTAGGCAACAACATTGAACATGCAGGCCTCAGACCGAGGCATCCATTTCTCCCTGTGTGAACCACCCATAAGCAATGGCAGAAACTAAGCTGTGCCCAGCACAATGGGACTGGTTCGAATGGCACTTGCTTCAGTCATGCCCATAGACAGGGAAAGAAAGGCATGCTTGCCCCCCTCGCCCTGTTGTGGCGCAGGCACTTGGGAAGCAGAGGCAGGTGGATATCTGTGAGTTTGAGGCCAGCCTGGTCTACCTGGTCTACACAACAAATGCCTGAACATAGAGAGACACTGTCAAAAAAAAAAAAAAAAAAAAAAAAAAAAAGGAAAGGAAGGAAGGAAGGAAAAGAAAAGAAAAGAAGCTATTCTTTTCTCCTATTTCAAATGGGGTGTGCCTATAATCCCAGCACTCAGGGAGAGAGAGGCAAGAATAGTGAGACTCGCCTAACTCTTATTTAATTTCCAGCAGACTCCCCTTGTGGTGGCTTCTTCCTTTCTGTGGTGCTTGGAGACCTGAAAATAATTGCAGAGAGGCAAGCTGCCGGCCTGAAACAGGAAGACTGCAGCAGGCTGCCCGCTCAGATAGAGTTTAATAAAGAATGTTGAAGGCAAGAGCAGGCATCTCAGGCACGGCCTCGCAACTGTACCCAACTGGCTTCCCCCAGCTTTGACCCTGCATGGGGTGGAAGGGGTGTGGGCAGGGGGGTTGGGTGGGGGTTCTACAGTCAGACGGGTCTAATCCCCATCCCAGATCCACGGCTTGCTCGCTGTAGCATTTGGGCAAGTTATATTTAATCGCTCTGAATCTTATTTACTGATTTGTAAATTAAGATTTTACAATATACAAATTATTAGTGTTGTGTTTCAAGGCCAGGCATGATGGCGTCTGCCTTCAATCCCAACACTTAGGAGGCAGAGGCAGGCAGATCTCGGTGAGTTCAAGGCCAGCCTGATCTATATTTGAGTTCCAGGTCATCCAAAGGTACATAGAGAGACCATCTTTACTTTTCCACCCTTTCCTGTATCAAAGCCTTGCATGAACTTAAGTTTCTCCGATGTTCATGGTGTCTCATCTCCATGCCTTGTTCAAACCAGGCGTTCCCTTACTTTGTCCTACACCCTACTCAGCCTTCACACTGCTTCTGACAGGCAAGGTGTTGGATGCTTCTAATCTTAGCACTCAAGAGGCTGGGGCCGGGGTGGGGGAGCGGCATGTCTCCTAAGACGGCTCAGAGGTTAAGAGCACTGGCTGTTTTCCAAAGGTCCTGAGTTCAATTTCCAGCAACCATATGAGGGCTTATAACCATCTATAATCTGGTGCCCTCTTCTGGCGTTCAGGCATGCATGTAGGCAGAACACTGTTTAAATAATAAATAAATAAACATGGCAAGGTCAAGGCCAAGCTGGGCAAGACCCTATTTAAAAAAAAAAAAAAAAAAAAGCCAAGCTATCCAAGTTTGAGGCCAGCCTCATCTACATGACAAGTTCAAAACAAAAATAAAAGTAAAACTAAAAGAGCCAAGTGTGTACTTGGCTGTCTTCTCCAGAAAACCAAATGGTCCCTTCCCTTGATTCTTAGAAGCCCTTTCACAGGAAAACCCAAGCGTCAGATCCCTGTGCTCCTCCCAAACCCCCTCAGACTTTGTTTATCACCTTTTCACTCTGACAAATTCATCTTTGCAACATTCTGTTGAATGGGGCCTAAGACTGAAGGTCTGTGTCTTAGGTAAGAAAAGAAGATTCCTCAGGGCCCTGAGAGTCTTTTACCTTCGAGGCTGCCTGAACTCTGCACTTAGTGGAAGTTCAGTTTGTGAGCTGACATTCCAGGTTGTTATGACAAACACTGATAAGGAAGGAAGAAGACAGACCTGTGTATGTCAGCCTTGCTGACAACTCCACAACCCCCAGCCTCCCACCCCAATCACACACGCCTGCTGCCAGTCCCAGGAGTTAGCAGCTCCTCCTGGGTGGCTGCCAACCCCAGGAAGAGACCCTCCCATCGGTGCAGTGGTGCGTCAGGTAAATCTCAACCCTGGAGTGGAGACATCTGGCCTCCGGGAAGCAGGAATGAGTGTCAGGTGAGACCAGAGAGCCCTGTGCGGGGAATTCACACAAGCCACCTTGACTGTAGCAGAGAGACACAGGACTCTGAATCTCAACCAGGGCATCAAGAACACAACCGCCTCTGAAGCCCTCAGCCCTGAGAGCTGGGAAGCACCGTCAAAACCCCAGATAGGCCAAGAGGGGGGAAGTAATTTAGTCAAGACTCCACAGCCTCTGTCAACTCTGAGGTCTGGCTCAGGACTCTCACTGAGGGAGGTCTCAGTAGACCCAGGACTGACTTCAGGACACCTGGCTACCCCATCACAGCAGGCCCTGGAGAACTGCACAGCTCTAAAAAACCAAAAATAAAAGATATAAGATTGCTTTGAGTCCACCCCAAAGGGAATTTTGTAGCCATGGGCTTTGCTCCTCTTGCTTGTTAGACAAGGAGAGTGAGACCTCCAGAGGTGAGCTGTTTGCTAAAGATGGCAAACAGTGTGGACAACAGATCTGCGATCCTGGCTATCCCTGTTGCAGGTGAGCGTGTTTTACATGAAGGTGTTTTGCTTTTTTTTGTTTTGTTGTTTCTTTGTTTGGGGGACAGTTTTTTGTTGTGTTGTTTTGTTTTCATGTCACTGAGGCTGGCCTTGAGATTTTCTTGATCCTCCTGCCTCCAGTTCCCCAGAATACACCACCACACCCTACCCAATCAGGTTTTTGTTTTTTAAATAAATCTCCTCCCAAGACCCACCTCCAGGCCGGGTCTGAGCTCTGCTAAGAGCTCCCACTGAAGTCTAGGCCTGGTCCTACTCCCCGAAAGCAACGCTGTAGTCTCTGCTCAGCTGCAGGTCTGTAGCAGGGACCACATGGTTCTGAGGAAGAGGTAAAGTTAGGGTGACCGGCAGATCTGCCCCCTGGCCTCTGGCTCTGCAGTTTGGAGCACACCCCTGCACAGGAGGCTCAGCTTCTCTGAGGCTTCTTCTTCGGAGGGGGGCACATGGGCATCCATTGAGCAGCACCCCACCAACACAGCTCAGTGCCCACCTCAGAGACACAAGCTCACAACAGAGGCTTGCAGTGTCCTCAGCACTGTCCACCCCAGAGATGGGACTGATAACAGTTGTCAAAAAGAAGTTATAAGGCCCACTGCCCCTTAATCCCCGTGGAATGTTATGTTGCTATAAGGGCCCTCCTATCATGCTTCCAGAATGTTATGTTTTCATCATTTTATTTTGTTTGTTTGAGACAGGGTCTCACTGCCTGGACTATCAGAGTTTTATATCTGCAGAGAAGCATCACAACTAAAATTAAATGTAGATGTCCTGGGCTGGTTCTGGCACTAAAGTGCTTACCTGTCCAGCTTGAGGACCAGAGTTAGAGCCCCAAACTCATAAAGTGCTATATTCTGGCTACACAGTGAGATCCTGCCTACACATGCAAACAGCAGACATGGTTGCTCACACCTGTAACCTAGCCCTGGATAGGCAGAAACAGCCTGCTAGTCAGTGAGCTCTGGCTTCAATGAGAGACAGTGTCTCAAAACATAAGGTGAGGAGCTGGTGGCACTCACCTTTAATCCCAGCACTCAGAAGGCAGTCGCTAAGTTCAAAGCCAGGCTGGTCTACAGACTGAGTTCCAGGACAGCCAGGACTGCAGAGAAACCGTTTCAAAAAAACAAAATAATAATAATAAATAAGGTGTAGGGCTAGAGAGATGAGTCAGTTCTTGAGATGTGTAAGTTCTTGAAGAGGAGCTGAGAGTTTGTTTCCTAGCATTCACATGGGCTTTGTCCCACAGCTGCTTATAACTCCAGAGCCAGGGGACACAACCACCTCCAATGGAACCAGGACTCTGAGGGCATCAGGCATGTGGAACACAAACATACATGCAGGCAAAACACTCATACACATAAACTAAAAATAAAGCCTATGGGAGGCAAGCCAGGACTACGAAGGGAGACCCTGCCTCAAAATAAACATGAGAGAGAGAGTAGTGCTGTACTTGTGTAATCGAAGCACTTGGGAGTAAAGGTAGGAGGGTCAAAATGTTGTAGGGTATTCACCAGAGAAGACTGCTTGGACACAGATTTAAGCTGATAGGCGTCTTTATGAGCTGGCGGCAACAACACTGATTGTGTTGGGATCCTGAGCCTTTCCCAGGGCAAGGCTTTAACACAAAAACCATGTTCCTGGTCGACGTACCTCCCTTAGCAAGAACAGTTAGCCAAAATCAGCACCACAGAAGCTAAAAAGCAAGGTCAGTACATTTAGAGACTTTCTCAGAACTATATGAACTTTGATGGATTAGGTCTTTGTTTTAGTTTGGGTGGATGGTGATGTCTATATGCTGAGTTTTACAGCCTGAATGTACCCACGGAGTCACTTATGCTAAGATCTGTCTTCATCTACAGAGTGATTTCAAGGCCAGGGTGAGATGAGACCATGTTTCAAAAAAAATTATAAAAAAAAATGAAATGAAAAGGGGGGCAAGGGGAAAACAATTTTTAGTATAAAAAAATATATAATTCTTAGTAACCAGACTACCTTTGCTAACATTTCAACTCTGCCACTTACTAGTGCTTCTTTAAAAATGACTTAACTTCTTGGCACCTCATCTTTAAGGAGGGAAATATTGAGCAGGGCATAGTAGTACACATTGTTTAGTTTTGGTTTGGCTTTTTGTATGTTTTGGGGTTTTTGTTTGTTTGGTTTGGTTTTCTGTTTCTCCTTTGAGACAAGGTCTCTCTGTGTAGTCCTAATTGTCCTGGTACTCACTCTGCAGACCAGACTGGCCTCAAACTCACTGAGATCTGTCTATCTCTGCCTCCCCAGGGCTGGGATTAAAGGTGTGCACCACCACCACCTAGAACAATTTTAATGATCTATTTATTTTTATTTTATGTTGATTGGTGTTTGCATTTATGTGTGTGTGAGGGTGTAAGATCCCCTGGAACTGAAGTTATATGCAGGTGTGAGCTCTAATATGGGTACTAGGAATTGAACCCAGGTCCTCTAGAAAAGTTCCAGTGCCCTTAACCACTGAGCCATCTCTCCAGCCCTTGGTGCATATCTTTAATGCACCAAGGGCTGGAGTAACCTGGAGTCATTTGCATTCATATATCTACACACACATAATTAAAATGATAAAAATAAATCTTAAAAAATAATAAACTCACTCAATACAAAATGCTGATAATGCTCGTGTGTGCTAATCCCTGTGTGTTCATTAACTGCAAAGGAGTGAAGTTTTCCACACCTACTCTTTCATACAGAGGAATCTGTTCAAACTTAAGTTTCCGTGCATTTCATCAACTGCAAAAATAAACATGTTGACAAGGAACTGGGCGCTTCCACTGGCTGCTTGTTTTTTGTTGGCCTCAGTTGGCAGTGCCAGAGCTGAGTTCCCAGCTCCCTCCTTCACTGCCATCTTCTCTCTCCTGGAGAGTTCTTCCTGTACCTTCCAGGAGAGGCTGCCTTATACTGTGGCCCATGAGAATAAGGACTGACAATAATCACAGCCCTGTTGCTGCTCATCAGCGGTTGCTCAGCAGTCCTGGTACCTCTGTAGCCTGGGCCTGAGCCCTGACTGAGT